ACTTACCAATCCTAGTACCACTACAAGAAAGAAGAGGAAACAAAGAGTTGATCTTCTTTTATAGGGCTCAATGTTGGTAGAGGAGAAGCTAGAGATGTCCAGGCACTCAAATCAGTCGCAAGAACCCAAATTTGGGTTATCCATTGAAGCAAGAAACCCAATTCTCGCTAGTAATGAGCTCACGCCTCAATGTGCCAGTGGTGAGCTTGAACCCTAATCTCACCATAGTCTTGTTGGGATCAGGAATCCAGCACAGGATGAGAAGAAAGAACGAGGGGAAGAGTGGAGGAAAGAGAAGGGTTAGGGTTTGGGGAAGAAGAAGTTTAAGGACAATTTTGTAATTCAATTTCTTACTTATTTTTATATTTCATTCGGCCAACTCAGTGAATATAAATATTTTGGAGACTTCATTGGGACCAATTGACGTGGAGAAGAAAAGAGAGAGAGAGAGAGAAATTGCCACATAAGATTAAAATGGGTATGAATGGGGCCATGTCAGCATCCAAGTAATAAAAATGACTCCAACATGCTTAAAAAGTCCATCTCAGCCCAACCATTAACGATTTATTGACGTGGAATGACATAAGCAGTTAAATAATGAGTGATTTGTATTAATTGATAATTTAAAATATCATTTATCTTTACATTTTTTTGAAGGGTATCCCTACAACTCTATTTGGAGGGTGAATATGAGGGTTTTGTCAAAAATAACAATTATTTTGAGACATAAGGGAATACTTGTTAGAATCAAAGTCAAACTTTATTTTTTTCTATGTAACTTAATAATTAAAAAGTACATTAAATACATCTTTATAAAACCCTCTTTATTATTATTATTATTATTATTATTATTATTATTATTATTATTTTAACAAAAAAATAAAAATCAAAACATTTTAACATTAAAAATATTAGAATCTCTAATCCTAACCACATAATAGATAAAATTTGAGACTTATATTATTTTTTGTTTATCTTGTGGTTGTAATTGGACATCTTGATATTTTTAATACCAAGATGTCTTGTTTTTCTACTACCTCTTTTTTCAAATTGATGAGAGGATTTGTTTAAGAGTTCACATTCAAAATACAATAAATGTAACTTTTATAATTAATTTTTTAAAAATAAAAGTTAATTTTTATTTTAACAATATTAATATGTGAATAATTTCAATTAATTAATTGATTAAATCAAATTTAATATGTATATTTTTTATATAAATTAATTATAAAATAGTGTAATTCAATACCGTTTAAAAAATGGTTTCAAAAATATGTATGAGGACAACAAATTAATTTGGAGCATATCATAAGGTGTCAATGTCATATCACTGGTCACCATTCAAAGGTGTGGGCTCATGCTGACCATCATGATCGATAATAACGTGAATCTCATATTACTTAAGGTGGATCTTATGCTTTTGGACCTATAGGTGCTGTTTTGATTATGACTGACCTTGATGAGGATATCAAGTACTTAAGTAGAGAAGATTGTAATGCCTCAAAATCTCATATTGGGATGGGAAGTGTGAGTTTGAGTAGTATATAAATGTTGAGATCAATCATGACTTACAACTTGAGTTTAAGCTTTTAAGGGCTCATGAACTTTGGTCCCAAAAATTGTTAGGCCAATGATGGGTTTCAATCTGAATTGTTTCAATGCTGTAAGCTACTCAAATTCATATTGGACAGTGTGATTCTTGCTTACTCTAAACCTTTTTTTTTTTTTTTTGAGAAGGATCACTGTCTAAAATACTTTTCAAACATCACTGATTTAGAGATTTTCTAAAAATAGAATTCTAGAAGGCTAAAGGCCCATTTAGTGTAGAGGTTTAAGGGTAATATGGTTAGTGGCTTTTCTCAAACTCCTAAGGATAGTTGTTTGGTAAACTAGCTTAAACTAGGTGTTTTGGTAAAATTTTTTATTTAGCGATTTGGAACTAACAGATAGTTGTTAAAGTCCAAACCGCTAGCAAATTGAAAAAACTATTTTTAATAACTTTTTGTACCAAACCACTAACATATTGTAATTTTTTAATTTTATTGACAAAAATACCCACAAGATTAAATATATAAACAGGCACATCTAATCTTCATGCTAACCTAATCTCTTCTCCTCTCAACAAGCAAGCTTTGTTTTAATTAGTAGGTATGAGTTTTTTGCAACCACATCTTTCTTTGTTGTCTCTTCACCACTTTTTTGTAAATAATTTAAGTTATATATTAGTTTATCTATCTCTTTGCACACTATTCAATTCCATTCATTAATTTAAAGATTGATTATGCAATGAGATATGACATCTCGCATATCAAGTAAACAATACCCTATTTTTTGTTGAACTTTAATTTGGGCGCATGGGTTGTGTTATAGCAACTAAGTAGTAGCATTAGTTTTGCCTTCTGATTAGTTCCCCTTGCTTTAATTCCTTACACTTACCTTTGAGTGTATTTCTTTTATAATACTACTGTTTGTTGACTCAGTGCGCTCCAAAGGGCGGATGAATTGGAGTTAAAAAATTTCCTCCTCTTTACAACCACAAACCAAAAATTAAAGAGAGAGCTTACACAATGATTTTATAGAGGTTTGATCCAACCACTTGAAGCCTAATCCTTTACCTTGACTTTACTCACCAAGGATTTCCTCCACACTCTCCACTAAATCCTTTTACAAGAAGAAAGATATTTCTCTCAAATCTCACCCCTTTACAAGATAAACCCTAAGAATCTTCTCTACAGATCACTCTTGAAGGAATAATCACACCCCTAAGATAACTCACAAATAGAATAAGAAGAGGATTACAAACAAAGATCACTCAAAAATCTAAAACTCAAGTTAAAGCACAAGTTGGTAGGTAAAAATATTCAAGACAATGCTCAAAAACTTATTCCAGGTCTTCTATCAGCCATATTTATACCCCTTGGTTGAAAATAGTTGTTTCTAGCCATTGAGGTTCAATAAATGCTCTCCAAATCAATTAAGTTCGAGTTGCAAATTTGTCAGTAAAGCCGACTTTACCTCTAGATCCGACTTTGCAGAGCCAATTTTCATGTTTGGAGTCGACTTTCTTGTTGCTGCACATTTTGTTTTTTCGAAGAGTTGGTTGTAAAACATGAACCTGGCTTAGGATATCTAACTTCAAAAAATTAAAAAATTTGTTAAATAACTTGATCGTTGAGTATTAAATGTGATACCACAGTTGGTTGCAAAGTTATAGCCAACTTTGCGTTCATTTTCCATGTGCACACCAAACTATAGGTTCAAAAACTTTCACCTATAAAGCCAGCTGCAATGTTTAAAGCTGATTGTCTACACTTTTGTTCACTAGAGTCAGTTGTAGATTCCTAGAGCCAACTCTCTACACTATTTCCAAGCTTTTTGGTTCATTTTTAGTGCAGTCTAAATTCACTTACTTTTGCAATTTTTTAAGAGTTTAACTACACACTTAAATGAATAAATTAGTCACTCAGATGTGTTTTGTAATCATCAAAGTCATAGGTACAACATTGTTATGTGTCAAGAATAATGCGTTTTTTTTTTTCTTATGAATGGTCAAGAATAATGAGTTAAGGTCTTGTTTTACCTTTATATTGTAATTCCAAATATATCCTTCATTTTTTTCATTAATTAGAAATTACTTACTTCGTATTAGAAAGATTTTAAGGTATATATAACTTAAGTCCATAGTCTAAACCAATAGTTTATAATTATAATAGGTTTCTTTTCTAAGCTTGCTGTGTTGGGATTGTGTTGCAAACTGTATTGTTTGGGGAAAATAATTGATCTACATTCTATTTAACATATTTTTTGATACTTGTTCTAGTTTAACTATTAAAATATAATACAAATATAGTATATTTAGTCAGTTCTTGCATTCTGTATACATGGATGCATTTTTGAGTTTGTCTAGCTACCTCTAATTTCATAACAAAAAATAGTAATTTTTTAATAAATATGTTGTACAATTTGTTGAACTAGAGTGTATACCAATATCCATTATTTGGCCATGTTGAAACTTAAATATTTTAATAAAAAATAAAATAATATATTTTATAAATTGAATTTATTGTCCAATTAAGAACTTGGTCAAATTAGCCATTGTAGGTTAATTGCCTTACTCAAAAGTACATTATTACATAATAATTGTCCATTTATTACTATCATTAACCTACAAATGAGAGTTATATGACCATGAGTCCTATAAATGAGTCCTATAAATGAGTCCTATAAATGAGTCCTATAAATAGAACATGTCTTTTTACTCAAAGAAATGTGTTCATCTACGTTCTTCTATTTTCTTACCTTTTTATCTTCTAAATATTATTGGGTAAAGAAGGGTGTTTTGAGTTAAGTAACTCTATAAGTAATGCAGATTTATAGAATGTTATTATAAAGCTATAACATCCTGGGGGTGATATGCTATATACATTTCTGCTACACCGATCGATTTACTGTTCATAGAAGTGTGAATCGTCTTAAAGTAAATATTCATGCCTAATTTGATGATATTTTTCTTATCGATATTTTTTGATAAGTTCACTAATTATTATTTTATTTGATCTTGTGATCGAGGCACAACAATAACATAACATGGAGATAGAGGAGAGTGTTCAAGGAACAATAGGTCATGGAGTATTTCTTATGGTCCTTAGTAATATAAATTCAGTTTGATTTGCTACTTAAAAAAAGATAGTTTTTAATTATAAATCTAGTACAAATTGAGGAAAGACTATTTTGTTTTTAGTAATAGTAAAATATTAAGAAAAATAATTGATACATACTCAATTCAACGTACGTTTGACACTCATTCAGTTCAACTATTAAAATTTAATATAAGTAAAAACTAATTCAACTAATTTTTACATCTTATATATATAAGTATATCTTTAAATTTATCTATTTTTAATTTCAAATCAAAAAACAATAATTTTTTAGTAAGTGTATTGTGCAGTGTATAGAATCAGAACGTATAAAATCAATATCCAAATATTAATATAGATCGTTTTGAATATATTGACAGATAACATGGTTAAAATGCGGAGGTCTCATCCTTGCGATCCGCTGAACCATACCGTGACTGATGCTGTTGGTCTAATGCAATTCATGACTGCGGTGTGTGAGATGGCACAAGGGGAAAGTGTCCCTTCACTCATGCCCATTTGGGATAGGCATCTCCTAAATGCACGCTACCCTCCTCGTTTGACCTGCACACATGATGCATTTGACGGATTAGCTGAGACAGAGGTCGCCTTCAACCCACCCGAAGACATGGTCCTAAGGTCTTTCTTCTTTGGACCCTCCGAAGTATCAACCATTCGTAGTTTCCTCCCCGTTGGCCGTCGTAATCTTCCACTGTTGATGTGTTGATTGCATTCTTGTGGGGGTGCCGCACCATTGCTTTAGAAACTGAGCCCAATAAAAAGATGCGAGCCATATGCGTTGTCAATGCTCGTTCGAAATTCAATCCTCCTATACCTATAGGATATTACGGGAACGTAATCGTGCAATCAACTGCTCTAACAAGAGCTGGGAAGCTTTGTCAAAACTCGTTGGCATATGCACTGGAATTAGTGAAGCAAGCAAAGGCAAATATAACAGAAGAGTACATGAAATCAACGGCAGACTTGATGGTGATTAGAGGTCGACCTCGTATCATAATGGATGGGACATTTTTGGTATCGGATGTAACACGCCCTAGATTTACAGATGTCAATTTTGGGTGGGGCAAGGCAGTATATGTTGGACCGGCAACGGGTGGTGGTAGGATGATACCTTGGGTTATAAGCTTTTTTATCCCAATGAGGAACAAGAAAGGAAAGGATGGAATTGTGGTGCCATTTGCTTGCCAGCTCTAGCTATAGAAAGGTTTGTGGTGGAGCTGGATAGCATGTTGAAAAGCAACCTTTAAGGAGTAATAGCTGGCTGTAAAAGAGTTGAATATGTCAGTGATAACAAGATGGAATGCCATGTAAGCAAAAAAATTCCATGTAAGTTTATTAGTTAATGGCAATTGTTAGAGATATTAAGGTATTTAAAGAATAAAATATGATGATTAAATCTTAGATTTGATATTATTGTTATTATATGGAAGACTAAGATGAATAAAATAAGGTTTCTTGGTTTATCTAAGCCTCTGTATAAAGACTTTTTATGTATTAATTAATTAAGTAGTTTAACTTATGGCGATAAAATGATTATATTATAATATTAGACATGTTATTAAATGAGTAAAAATATATAATATTATAAGTAAATTTTTTAATAAAAAAATTAATTATATAATGACATATAAACTAACATTATAATTATAATGCCAACAAGAGTTTGTGGAGTTGATATCTACTTAAAAGCTTTAATTTGGAATCAAGATTAGAGATTTAAATTTCTATATTACCAAGCAGTTAATTCTTTTTTGGACAAAAAAAAATTACAATTATATAATTTTCGTTTAATTAATCTGTATT